CATTCTCAGTTGATTGCGGGGCTCATTGGAGCCAGCCGCTCGTGCCCTCTTCTGTAGCTCGCCGGGCCGATTGACCTGTTGAACTCGCTGTTCCTTGTTGAACTGAACTTTTCAGATGATGGTTGAGCCGTTATAGTCGAAAAAATTTTTATCCGCTCTGCGCAGTGGAGGGGCGTGGCTGGTGTGTGTGTGTGCGTTTGTGTGTGTGTCATTCCATCGAGCCATCCTGCGTCTCCCCATTCATCACTGTCCCCTCCCCAAGGTATCCCTTCACCCGTGGGGCACAGATGGCCTGCGATAATTCTTGTCTCTGGTGTTATTCCTGCTCTCCCGCGCTGCGGGAAGACAAAGGCGGCCGGGGTCTCTTTCTCTCTCTCTCTCTCTCTAACCCTTGAGTTAACACTGCATTATTATTTGCTTATGTCCTGAGGTTGGAGAATTCGTTTTGACTTAGGAAAAATTCTGATTGCCACACGCTTCGGGTCAAGTTGTGTAGAAATGATTAAAGATGGAAATAACATTTCGTATTGAATTAATAGATGGGTAATGGTTCATTGATGTAGCTTGTGGCCTGGTTTTTAATTGGAGTGCGTGTGAGGATCAATGATTTCAGCTTATTCCTGTTGTTGGATTTTGAACTTTAACGTTACTTTAATAGCAATGAAGAAAAAAAGTGGTTTAGCGGTTGGCTTTGGCTATGTCTGCGGGCTGACGGAAGGGGCGAACTCTCGGCGACCCCGGGCGCTGCGTTACGTCAATCCTGCTGTTTGCTTGCCCAGTGTTTGGTCTGTGCCCTCTGACCCTGGGCATGTTTGTGAACTGTCAAAATTATGTCAGCAGGTCATGGTAAATCGTCCCTTGGTAAATTGGCGATTCTCTGATTGCGTGTTTTCATTAATTATTTCTTGTAAAAAAAATATCGGCAAATATTGATATTAATTGTGGAAAAAGGCCTATATATTCAACTATATATTCAATGTCTCTGCTAGTGGGTTCCTCGGGTGAAAACCCATCGTCCCAGGTGATCCCTCCTCGAGACTCTACGGGGGTGCATGCGAGTGTTTAGTGGGGCGTGCGTGCGTTCGTGCTTCTTCGTTTTCAAAATCGTTTTAAAAAAACGGCTTAACTCAGCCCTCCCACCCACCCACTTTCCTTTCTGGCTCCTCCCCCCCCCTTAACCTATATATAAACTGCTTCTTCGTTTTCAAAAATGGCTTAACTCAGCCCTCCCACCCACCCACCCACTTTCCTTTCTGGCTCCTCCCCCCACCTAACCTAGATATAAACCCGATCGTCTCAGAGCTGTGCACTTGACACAGATATTCTTCTGTGACTATTCCACCTGAAGATGGAAGCTTGTGTTGCCTCCGAAACGTCGTGATTTAATTGTTTTCTTTTATTTTGTTTTATTTTATCTACGTGACTTTATCGAATAAAACCAAAGAGTATGTGCAGCCACACCTTAGAGCCCGCTGAGTAGAGGGGGGGTTCCATGCGGGGCCGGGTGCCCTGATGTGCGGCCTCCCCCTGTTTACAGGCCCGGCCGCGGGCCCCTCACAGGATTACCATCAGGTGCTCTACGGGCTGGCTCCCTTCCTCCGGTTGCGGCGGGAGAACGCCGAACAACAGATCTGCTGGGAGGCGAGACTCATGACCAAACATCGTTAGGAACGGGGTCTGTCCCGTAGATGTGTGTACCATAGTGGCGTAGGCGAACAGGGCATAGGGGAGGTGTTCGTCCTAATCCTGTTGATTGGCGGCCGCCATACATTTAAGCTTCCCAGCTAGGGTCTGGTTCATACGCTCCACCATCCCATTTGCCTGGGGGTGATACGCCGTAGTTCGGTCCTTCTGGATTCCGAACTCCCGGCACAGTGCCTGAAATAGCTCCGCCTCTAACTCACTACCCTGGTCAGTAATGACTCTTTCGGGGATCCCATGTTTAAGCACGTAGTGTTCCACAAATGCCCGGGCGACCACAAGGGCCGTTTAATCTGGGATGGCCACCGCCACGGGGTAGCGCGTGAAATACTCCACCGCCACGAGGATCTACCGGTTGCCTCGGTGGGATCGTGGGAATGGTCCTTGTAAGTCGATCCCAACCAACTGGTTTGTCTGACGGACGCGGAACGGTCTCAGGGGTACCTGGTACCGTGCCGTTTTCTGCCCACACTGCTGACAGACCTGGCAGCCCTGTACCCAGGCGGCCACATCTTGCGCCAATTTGGGCCAGAGATACTGGCGACGCAGAGTCTCCCGAGTGCGCCGTTCCCCATCATGGCCCCCGAGCGGGTGGTCGTGCACCAGCCATAGCAGCTGGAGCCGCACCTGGGCGGGAACACAGATGCACCCCAGCTGCCCAGCTTCGGTTAGTTCCCGCATCACTCCGTTCTCTACACACAACCGGGCATACAAACCACTCCAGGATCCCGATAGGGCGACCTTTTTCTCCTGCAGGGCCGCCTCCACCACCGCCAGGTCCGGCGTATGCGATGACCCGCTCTGTCCCATCCTGCACCTGTGACAACACCGCGCCCAGCCCACTGCTGCAGGCATCGGTGTCCAAAATAAAATCAGTGGTGAAATCGGGGTGTGGGTGAGGTGGTCTTTGAGGGTGGTGAAGACCGTCTGGCAGGCCCCCGTCCACTGATAGGGGTTCTTAGGGGATGTGAGTTGGGTGAGGGGGCGTGCAATCTCGCTGAATCCCTTCACAAATCGACGATAATAAGTGGCTAGCCCCAAAAATGACCTGATCTCCGTCAGGTTCCTTGGCCGTGGCCATTCCACTACAGCGCGTACCTTTTCCGGATCGGTGCACACCCCTGCCTCGCTGACACGGTGGCCGAGGTACCCCACCTCGCGCTGCGCAAGGTAACACTTACATGGCTTGAACTTGAGATGGGCTGCTCGCAGTCGCTGGAACACCTCTCGCAGCCTGGACCAGTGCTCAGACAGAGATCTACTGAACACTATCACGTCATCCAGGTAAATTAGGCACTGTTCCCACTGCAAGCCCCGCATCACCAACTCCATCAACTGCTGGAATGTCGCAGGCGCGTTAGTGAGTCTGAATGGGAGTACTCGGAACTCGAACAGTCCCATCGGGGTGGTAAACGCGGTCTTTTGCCGATCCTCCTCCGCCATCTCCACCTGCCAGTACCCAGATGCTAGATCGAGGGTGGAAAAATACCGCGCCCCTGCGAGGCTGTCAAAGGTGTCATCGATGCAGGGGATGGGGAAGGGGTCGCCGAGGGTAACTGCATTTAACTTTCGATAATCGATGCAAAACCGGGTCGATCCATCATTCTTCGTCACTAGTACAACCGGGGCAGACCAGGGGCTCGCCGAGGGCTGGATTATGTTATCGCGGAGCATATCCAAGACTGCCTCTTTGACCTGGGCCCGTTCAGGCACGCCCACTCGGTATGCGGGGAGTTTGATGGGTCGGGCTGCACTGATGTTAATTTGGTGCTTAACAAGGTCTGTCCGGCCCACATCTGAATCGTGCTCACTGAACACGTCGGCGTACTCCCGCAATAACCCGCGCAGCTGATCGGCCTCCCCCTTAGGTAAATCTGCCCAAGGTTCATGTAATGCATCACGCAAGGGGACGACCTCGGCTTGGGCAGTCGGGCCGACTCGCCAGGCCAGGTCCTGGCTGTTCTCGGGGTGACCGGGGTCCTTAGCCTAGAGTGCAAACACCGAGTCGTTAGAGTGGCGCGCGTGCAGGGGGTGTATGGTGGCTACCGTGGTGCGTCGTCGTAGCAACGCCGGGGTACTGTGTGGGTTAAACACCTGCGTGAACAGTCGGCCCCCGTCTGCGTTGACCAGCGTGGCCGATCCCACAACCCCGTACCGTGCCGCCAACTCCGGGTGAGGAGTCAGCGTTACCTCGCCCGGTGGTCGGTGTGTGGGGTCGGTGGAGGGGGTTGCCACTGGCACCAGCATCTCGGCGAGCGCCCCGATGGTGACGGCCGACACCAGCGTAGCGGCCACGGGTGTGAAGCGACGGCGATTCGGCTCCTGTCCCAGGAACGGGATCCGCTCCCCGCTGCCCTCCACGGTGGCGCATCGCTGGCGGGGCCGCACGTTGAGCCCCAGTTTCTCCAGGAGGTCCGTACCTGCAACACACTCATGGCACAACACACTCGAGACATAGCATTCCTGGGTGCACGTCTGGTGTCCGAGGCGGACCTCGAGGGAGATTCTTCCCCAGTAGCCATTTGGCCTGAGGGGGGCGGGGGGGGTCTGCCAATTCCCTGACCCTGAGAAACCGTGGAGCACCACCACGAGGGGGCCTCTCGGGTAAAAACTCAGGGCAGGTGCCCCCCTCCCCTCCCCACGAGGCCCGACGTGAGTGTGTGTGTTTATGTGGGGGGGAGAGAGCTGTGATGGGAGCCGGGTGGCTTCTCGGTCGCAGCAGCACAGCGACGGGCCCGGTGTCGACGGAGCGGCTTCGCTGTTGTGGCTCCACTCTATTTGTGTGCTTCATAGTTAATTGAATTTCTCCAATCTCAATAAAGCTTCGGATTCTATCGTCACACCGTATAACGCACTTGCTGCCATTTGTACCAAAATGATAATAGGCTTGTTCGTCAATCAACATGTTACAAAGTACAGTACTTATTTAACGGGCAATAAGTTACGTGTAGTGTATTCACAACTTCAATCGCTGGAGTCAGTTTGTTTACAGTTCATAGAAAACACACGCTTCTGTCTGCTCGAGAGCGCAGAGAACGCAGACAGAAGTAATTCCCTCATCCTGTGGAGGTTGCGAGCCGGCGCTATCCTCATTATTCGCCGCGGCACGATTCGAGATTACGCGGCAATTAAGAATTTTCTATAGGTAAATTGTCAAACGTTTCTAGAGTTTAAATCTCTCAACGCCTCTCTGTCCGCGCCGCTCTGGTTGGTGTACGTTTTATGAATGCGTGTGTATGATTATTATACGTCTGTATGTGTGTTTACTGAAGGGGCGTATGCGTTTATGAACGTTGACGTTTTAGACGAAAGAGCGGCGTGCGGAGTAAACGCTCACAGCCGCGTGGTTGACGTGGAGGAGGAAAGATGGACCCGCGGAATGAGGAACCCGCGGTGATACGCGGTGCCAGCGATGCGGGTGGGAGCCGCGAGTATCGCGTGTATCGCGAATGTGTCCTGCGTGTACCCCCTGTGTGAGTGAGTGTCTCACTGCCTCTCCCCCTCTCCCCCCCCTCTGTATCTGTGGGCGTTAGTGTCGGAGCTGCTCGCTCGCTTTGGCTGGCCGCTGCTGCTGTTCTGCGCTCTTCTCTACTTCACTGTGCGCCGAGCCGCCCCGTGGCTGCGATGGGGCAGGAGCAGCAGCAGCAGCACCAGCATCAGCAACCCAGGTCTTACCGATCGATGAGTCAACACCACTTTATTCTTAGTCACGGCCCTGCCCTGGCTTTGCCTCTTAACGCGGCTCAGCTCTGGCTTGAGCCGCGCAGTTGCTTTCAAAGGCACATGCGCAGCTCAGCCATTGCATGTCTGAGCCTCAGCTCATGGGAATCCTGAGCGTGGTTGGGACCATTGTAATATCAAGGCAGATGGAGCCCATCAATTCCTGCAGACTATTGCTGGACAGTGACGAGAGACGCTCCATTTAATGAATACAAGAGACAAGCCAAGAAGCGCTGAGTAGACACTGAATAAGGACTAAACTATGTACTTATATAGACACATAACTAGCGATAAGTACCCAGCGTTGCCCCGGGCGAAAGAGACAGACACGCACATCGACTTGCACACAGACATCGACCCACACAGAAACACATCGACTTACACGCACACACATATGGACTCACAAAGACATCAACTTACACACATATGGACTTACATACACATAGACATCCACTTTAGATACAACAACAACCGCCATTCGCCACTAAGTGGCAGTGACGTCACCACGACGCTTGATCCAGGCCATGTGCACCTTGAGGCCACGTGAAGTGTCGAACGCCCGCTGGCAGGAGGTCACGGGGCAGACCCAGCAGGTGCCACGGGTCGACTGACTGAGATCACTGGCTGATGCACCACCTGTGCCCCCTACTGTGCCAACCTGCTGTGCTTTAGCCACCCGGCGCTCCGCTCGTTGTGAGCGTCGCTCCTCCGCCCTCCGTTGTTGTTGGAGGGCGACTGCCTCCAACTGCCCAGTAGCGTCCTTCACGAGCCTCCTCCACAGAGGCCGATCTTGACACCGCTGGTACCAGTCATCGGCAAGTCCACTCAGCTCCACGTCCTCCTGTACCACATCCATCTCTTCTCCAGCTCGTGCCGCGCCCGTTTAGCCCCCTCGATCCGGCCAAACAAAAGCTATAGTAATAGGTTTTTACCCTTTTATCTGGCACAGATAAAATGGTAAAAACCTATATGTTGCTACTGGCAAAGGTGGTCTTCTAATGCAAACAAAAGCTGTTTAGGCATGCGGTGAATGGGCATGCGGGCTACATGACCCAGCCAACGCAGCCTTCCCCGCCGGAGGAGCTCACCGATGGGACCTTGCCCAAATCTTTCAAGGATTTTTGAGCTCCTCGCACAATCCAGTCTGGTTAAACCCAGGATGGATCGTAGGCAGGCCAGCCTAAATGTTTCTAACCGGCGAAGATGTTCCATTAGGGGGGTCCACGTTTCGCAAGCGTAGAGAAGGGAGGGAATGACCGTGGCCGAGAATACCTGAAGCTTAGTGCGGAGCGACAGACCAGGTAGCTTCCACACAGCATTACGCAACCGATGAAAAGATATTGCCGCTCGACTGATTCGGAGTGAGACCTCTGCTGTTAAACTGGAGCCAGTCATAAGCACACTGCCCAGGTATGGGAAACTCTCTACCCTCTCCACAACTGCCCCATCACCGATTGGGAGTTGTGGGGGTGGAGTGTCCGATGGTATAAAATACCCAGGCAGGTGCTTAGTTTTGGTGGGGCTGATGGTAAGGCCCCACCTCTTAGTGGCACGCTCCAGTCTCAGCAGCAGCGTCTCCAACTCCTCCTCCGAATGTGCAGCTATTACCAAATCATCAGCATACATAACGTGGTTGAGCAATAGGGAGCCATCCCTTGACCGCACCCGGGCGTCGATCAGCCTCCCATTATTTCTGTACCATATGGAGATTCCCCCGGTACAGCTATTGAAGGCTTCACGAACTACGTGGTCAAAATAGATGTTAAATAATGTGGGAGCCAGAGGACATCCCTGTCGCACCCCAAGGTTAACAGGGAATGGCTCTGACTCCCGGCCACGTAGTTTTACCCGGGCCCGCTCACCATCATGAAGGTCCTTAATGATTGTGAGCAGAGGGGTCAGGTACTCCAAAAGCACGAAGAACAACCCAGAGCCCAGGCCTACTGATGGTATCATAGGCCTTGACCAGGTCAATAAAACAGAGATGTAGGTCTTGTTGGAATTCCCTATACCTCTGCTGTAGCAGACGGACAGAAAATATGGCATCTGTGCAGGACCGCCCTTTCCTGAAACCGCATTGGGGCTCCGCAAGCCTCTCCTCAGCGTGCCTGGCAAGGCGATGCTGAATAATCCTTGCTGGGACCTTTCCCAGCACACTGAGGAGTGAGATGCCCCTGTAGTTGTTACAGTCTGTGCAGTCCCCCTTCTTAAAAAGGGGGACCACCAGTGCATCCTTCCAATCCTGCGGAACCCGTCCAGTGGTCCAGACCGTTGTTATGATGTCATATAGGGCAGTCTGTGCACAAACGCCACCCTCCCTCAGCATTTCGCTTGGGAGATGATCTCTGCCCGCTGCCTTTCCTGGTCTCAGACTCCGGATCGCCTTCAGTACTTCCTCAACAGATGGCACCTCAGCCAGCCACTCACAGGGGGTGACTTCTCAGCAGGGTCATCCTCACTTTGTGCCACGATATTTTCCTGGCTGAGGGATTTTCCCTCCCCCAGGACCTCACAGAAATGCTCAGCAAATCTGCAAACCTGTTCCTGGGGGTCGGAGATTGGATCACCGTTTTTTCCCCTAATGATGGTAATAGGTGTGGCGCTGCAGGTTACTTTTTTGATGGAGTTAAATAGAGATTTGTGATCACGGGCCACTGAGGCAGACTCCATCTCCTCAGCAACCCGCGACCACCACCCATCCTTGCAGCGCCTCACGGCTCTCCGAACCTCCGAGCGAAGGCTGCGGTAAGCCTCCTCATTCTCTGATGTGGGATTCTGTAGCCAATGACAGTGGGCCTGTCGCTTTTTCTCAACCATCCTGAACACCTCCTCTGTCAGCCAGGGTCTCTGGGGAGGTCTGGACCGCGTACTCAAAGCAGCCATTGCAGCTGCATGAGTCACAGTCCTAAACCTCGCCCATTTACCCTCGACATCAGGAGGAGTCGGGGACGATGCCAATGCCAGCCGCAAGCGATGATGAAATTCTCGCTTGCAACTTTCATCAGATAACTGAGACCAGGCCACTTTAGGTTGGAATGGGGTCCTGGGTGTACACCCACCACCGGAGTGGAAGAATGGCAGGCGCATCTTACAGATGACTAGTCGATGGTTAGAGGGCAGATCAGCTCCACGGTAGGTCCTGGTGTCAAGGACATGGGCTCGCATCCGCTGGTCTGTCACTATGTAGTCCAGCAGATGTTCTTGCTTGGACCCGGCATGCATCCATGATGTTGTGTGGATGCGCCGATGCCGGAACAGCGTGTTGGTAATTACAAGCCCATGGGCTGCACAAAAATCTAGCAGCCTCCTACCATTGTTATTGAGCTGATCTGGCCCATGCCCTCCAATCACTCCAGACCAGGTGCCAGTATCATGACCAACTCGGGCATTGAAGTCACCCAACATGATGACTCTATCCCGAGGGGCCACTTTAGCCAGCACCTGTGACAGGAGGTCATAGAAGGCATCTGACTCATCGGCTTTGCCTGCATCCCTCCACGGATGTTCATCTTCGGTGGGGGCATAAGTAACCACGACCACCATTCCTCGCCTCCGGTTGATGGGAAGGCGAGCCCAAAGTAGCCTGGGGCTTACAGCTTCCCACACCTCACCGCCACGCTCCCACGCCCCCTTCATTCTTTTGTTCAAAAGAAGAGTTCAAAAGAAGAGTTACACACACATCAACTCACACACACGCATTGACTTACACACACACATCGAGTGACACGCACACATGTATGGACTTACACACACATGTGGACTAACATACAGACACATGGACTGACACACATACACATGGACGTACACACACACATCGACTGACACACATAGACACACAAAGGCACATTGACTTACACACTGACATGGAGCCATGCACACACATCGACTAACACATACACACATCGACTAACACACACAGCGACTAACACACACAGCGACTGATACACATACGTGGACTGACACGCACACTTGGACTGACACAAACACATCGATGTACACACCCATCGGGCGTTGTCCGTTTGAAAAAGACAGACGCACGTGGACTTACGCACACGCATGGACCTACACGCACACACATATGGACTCAAACACACACATCGAATCACACACATACATCGACGTGCACAGCAATCCCCGATGATGGCACAGCTATGAGCATGGCAGTACTACATATCAGTAAATAGCGTGACGTGAGCAATCGAAACAGTAGAAATGTATAGAAGAAATCAGCTTAAATAAGTGTACATGAAAGAGCATCAGTACGCACAGGTAAGTTGAGAAACAGGCTACAGTCTAGATTATAGAGTGCCAGTACGCCGACTGAATGACATAAGCATTGCTACAGTCGACATTAAAAGCTGGCAATACGGGCAGCAGCTGAAAAAGCAGGATACAGTCGACATGAAAGGCTGGCAGTACACCGAGTGAGGTAAAGAAGCAGGCACGAGATTATAGACTGCCATACACTCATATTGGGCAAAAGCAAAATTAGCAGTGTAGATAATAGAGTGCCAGTGCACTGACGTTAATTACCGTATTTTCCCGCATATAGCCCGCATACGCATATAACCCGCAGACGCATATACCCCGCAAAAATAGCGTTTTGTGTTAAACAAATTTCAGATAGCCCGCACCTCCATATACCCCGAATGCATTCATATATTTAACGTCGTTACCGCAGCTTGGTTCCATCATATTAATAAGAAGTTTACATTTGTAATACATTCCACATCAATTGTTAACATTAAAATCATAACGTGCACAAAGAAAACAAACTAACTGGAAACGAGTGAACTTAAAACAGTAAATAAGTAACAAAAGTAAATGTCCAATAAATAAGTAACACAACTGGTAGATACGTACAGTTTTAGCACTGGTAGATTGCAGCTCTGCGCAGATAATAGCGCATTAAGGTAAGCCATTGCCCCACCCCCCAACTCTCTCTCCC